CTCTCAGAACTATTTTACTACATGCCATAATTTTTGAAATCTCTTGTTTGCAGATTTCCAAATAAACCTCATTGTGTTTTCTTAATTTCCTTTTTATTTCTTCAATGGCATATTGTTTAGAATCATGTTATTTAATTGCTAATGTTCACAAATATTATGAAATTTCTCTATTTGATACTTCCTAGTTTCATGTCTTCATGTTCAGAAAGATAGTTGATATGCTTACAGTGTTCTTAAATATGCTTAGACATATTGTGAAGTCTAGTGTATCGTTTACCTAGGACAATGGTCTGTGTAGTCTTAAGAAAAAAATGTATTCTGCTGCTGTTGAAATACTTTGTGTATGTCATCACTTTCAATTTCTCTAAAACAACTTTCATTTCAAATGGTCACTTGGAGGTTTTTCTGTTCATGTTATCTTTCACCCTTAAGAGTAGTGTGTGGGGCTGGGGATTTCACTCAGTGGCATAAGTGCCTGCCTGGCAAGCATGAGGTCATGAGTTCGATCTCCAGTACCGCAAAAAAAAAAAAAAAAAAAGTAGTGTATAAATGCCCTGTAATACTTTCATTCTCTTGAATGGTTTTATAATATTTTGTTATGTTTGATACCACTGTACATGAAGGTATGCTCAACTATTTCAAAGAAAGAGACATTGTGGTAGCTACTCTTAATATCAGGTTGTATTGTGGTATAGTACTGTGTTGTTTACATGTTTCTGTTCTGATCTGCTTTATTCTGTCCTCTTTTGTCTCAATCTCTTTAAAATAAAAATAAAAACTTAAAATTAAAAAAGAATGGTGTATGGAAGTTTTCCATGCCATTGTATATAGGTATCTATCTCTTCCTGTCTATTAATATTTGCTTGATATATATCAAGTGTTTTGATTTACAGCTACATATTATAAATGCTATATTGGTTAGCAAAGGTGGCAGATAGATAACAGCTGGCTACAGAGGCTCCCTGAGATAGTCATCTTAGAATTCAACATAATACAGAGTGGGGAGCCCCAAAGAGAGGGAGATGAATTCTCTTGTCCCAAGAAGAAATTAAGGTGACTTGCCGACCATCCAAGGTCCCACCGTGACTGTGCAGGGTCCGGCTATTGGAGATCCTGCCGCTTTGACTCACTGGAGGCACAGTTACATTGAGTTTGGGGGTCAGCAAGCAGAATGGAGGGTTGAGTTGGCAGGGTGCCTACATCAACCTGTGGTGAGTGACAGGAGCAGAGTCATTCCATAAATAGGGGGGCTCCAACAGACAACATTCTGGAACTGGGCAGGATTGGCAAGTACAAGGGCAGCAGTTACTTCAGTCAGTTGTTCCCTTCCCGAATGGGATTGGTGGAGTGAGCTAAGCCTGGGTCACATGACCTGGCTGAGACGCAATAGGTTATCCGAGCTCAAGTCCCTGCAGTGGTGGTGCACACTAACCACACTGGCCCAGTGGGGCCTCAGAAGTTTGGCTGGTCTGGAGGGGAGGCAGAGTAAAGTAATATAGTAGTGCAGGCCACAGCAGCTTGACTGATCTGGAGGGGAGGGGCCAGCATAAGCTGTCCCTGTCTGCAACTCACTATCCCACTGCAGTGGGAAGGGCCATCTAGCCAGCATGCTTCAGAAGAATTGTAACCAACAAAGAAAGAAACTGGGGCCTCCTGGAAGAAGCAAAAAAGATGGGAAGAGGAAGCAACAAGAAAAAGTCCCCAGGCCCCAACCCTGAGAACACTGACCCAGCACAGGTAAATACAAATAACAATGAGACCAGCAAACATGCAATATCAGACACAGCACCAGTGGACATAAAGAGATATATCCAGGATCTCATAGATTAGTTCAAAAGTGAAGTATTTAGCCAAATAAAGCAAGATATAAGAAGATTAATAAAAGAGATACTAAGCACTCCTCAAGCAGAAACAGACAGAAGAAGGGAGGAACTCAAACAAAGGAGAGAACCATTTGGTGAAGAATATAAAAAAAAAAATATAGAATACATGAAGCAGATTCAAAGAGATCACCAGGAAATTAAAAACTCTATGGAAAGATGGCAAATCAACTTGAAAGAAACTAAGGATAGATTATCCAAACTGGAGGACAATTTTGCAATGTAGGAGTATGAAAGGGAAAACTTTTTTAAAATAACAAGGAAACCAGCAGTAACAATACAAAGGCTAGGAGATGACAAAAGGATCTATAACTTGAGAATAAAGAATCTAAATAAAGAAGCTGGGATACAAACAAAGGAACTACAAAGGTTATTCACAGAAATAATTAAGGAAAACTTCCCAAACATAGGAAAAGCAAATAATATTCTGATATATGAAGCATACAGAATTCCAGCCACCTACAACCAAAATAGAGCTGCACCCAGGCATATGATAATCAAGACCCCAGAAATTCAATATAAGAACAGAATATTAAAAGCTATTAGAGTCAAGAAAAAGATAACCTACAGAGGAAGGCCCATCAGAATAATGGCAGACTTCTCAACACAAACCATCAAGTCAAGAAGAGACTGTATATTCTAAGCCCTGAAAGAAAATAACCTCCATCCCAGATTGATATACCTTGGTAAACTATCTCTAGAAATTAATGGAGAAACAAGATGCTTCCAAGACAAAGAGGAACTTGGGAATTTTGCAACCACCAATCCAACTCTACAGAGAATACTCCAGGGCATTCTAGAGAAAGAGAAAAGTACTAGGATTCCAGGAACAGTGACAGAGAGGCCTCAATGAATGGAGCAGAAAACAAAATGATGAAGATAGGCAGACAACTGATGGCAAAAAATGAGCATAATATAAATAAATAACAGAGAAGATTTTATTCAAACCTTACATGATTGATAGTATCAAGTCTGAGAGTATAGGCAACTACACTGAAGATGACAAGACCCTACGATACACATTCTGGTTTGATAACTGCCAGTTTTTTAAATTCTATATTATATACAAAGTTGTGTTTTTATTAATACTGTTATGTACTGATATATTCAATTATACTATGTCTGATGATATAGCCAATTCTATTGGAGATAACAAGAGACAACACAGGAACCATGGTAGAACTCTTTGTACAAAGGTCTTATATGTTCATTTCATTTCATGTGTTTATAGGAATATGTTTTGTTTTGCCCTGCTTTGTTTTGTTTCTCCCTCTAATACAGAAAGGATAGAAATACATGTTAAGACTCATGCATGTGTAGAATCTATAAATGGTTTGTGAGAACTGATCACATGACACATGATGAAATGAACAGATACTCCATTTTAGTATCTTGAATAACTATTTGTAAGAAGACAATCTGTAATCGTTAACTAGTGACTTCTTACTGTTTATTTTTTCTTTGAAACTATGTATTATTTCTACCTGCTTTTTGCTTTGTTTAGTCTTTTTTTAATTAAATTTTTAAAAAAGGCACTGCAGTACCCAGTGCTGACCACGGAGTGTCATGATGTGAAATCCAGCAATACTATTATTCTTTGTTTAGAATGATTTTAACCTGCTTTAGTTTGTTTAATCTAAACATAAATGGAGATATGGATAACTGCATGTATGTTTAAGTGTATAGGATTAACAACCATGTTACTAAGCTTTTTTTGGACAGTTGAACAGAACTGTTTACAGTCTCGTTGTTTGAATTCCCACTTTATATGTTCCATTTTTGTATCTTGAACAACTATTTGTAGAATGACAATAGTAAATATTAACTAGTGATTTCTTACAGTTTATTTTTTTCTCTGAATGTATGTATTGTTTCTACCTATTTTCTGTTTTGTTTAGTCTTTCTTTAAAAAAAATTAAAAATAAATAAATAAATAAATGCTATATTTACTTGTTCAATAGTTTCTATGACCTAATACAATGATGTTCTTCTCTCCTCTATGTTTTTGACATATTATAACATTTCCTAACCCTTAAAATATATGACAGATTGCTTAGCCCTTAATCCAAATGCTTGGAACCAAAATGTCATTGATAATCCTTTTCACATTTTGAATATGTGTTTGTATAGAATGGGATGCCTTGGAGATGACATCTTCCTAATATACCTTATACACAAAACCTGAAGATAATTTTACAAGTATTTCAATACAGTTTTCTTGAAATAAAGCTTTATATTACAACATTTTCCAAATACCAATCATTCAAAAAGTTTTAAACTTCTAGGATTATGGATTTAAGATTTTGTGATCATAAGTACTCAGCCTATGACCATCCCTCTTGGTACTTCAATCAGATGAAAGCAAAACTGTTGCATATAAAATAGTAACAATTCAACTGTGTGTGATAATAATGATAATGAGAATACCTCAAGCATAAGAGACCTTAACAGAAAATTACAGCAAATATAAAAAAAAGGCTATAAACATGTTAAGTAATAAGTGAAAATAGAAATGATGCCTGAATACAATGAAAACTGTGTGGAACTCCCTAATCTTGAGACAAGATATAATTGAAGACTTTAATTATGCCACTGATAGAACAATTCATATAAGAAATACCCAAATACTTAAGTTTTTGTTCCCTTAATATTTTGTACTTTCCACCTAACACACAAGAACTATGTGGTGTGGGCACACATTGCTGGCTACATAACCCTTACACATGGCTCACTTCTTTCTAACCAAGTTCAGCTAGGAGTGACCACATTATACCACCATGGCACCTGTGGAACTCTTTAAATCAATCCTTTATTTATGTAGACCATTGAATTTGAAGTGTGATGTTTCTTATTGCATTGAGGTAGGAAGATAAGAGGTAAGATTTAAAAACACAATAAAATAAGTTGTGAAATTAGAAAGCATTTTAAAGGCTGATATTTGGATCCAATCAGTCAAAAGAAAAAATGAAAAAAGAAAAGGAGAAAACACAAGACAAGATAATGTACTAATCCTAAATTAGAGCTCAAACTTTCCAGGAGACCAAACATTCAAAACATAATAGCAACATTGAAACAAAGAGCCAAGATATCTTAGTAAATATATTGTTTTATTAAGCACATATTATTTTCACTTCATTTTAGTATTCGATAATTACAGATTTTCAGTGGTTGTAACAACAGCTACAGCAGAAATAAGAAGTTTATAATTGCATTTGAAGAGTTAACAAACAAGATGTGTCTTCAAGGAAATGATAAACCTATATATTCTACCAATTGCAAGTTGAAGTTTTTACATAAATTCTGATGCTGACCAGACAGTAATTAACCTTTACTTTGATTTGAAGTTAATGGATAGAAAGAACTTCATTTGGACTCTTTTTTAATGCATTCTTTTCGGTGACAAAGCCTGACTTGCCCTTGTGATTAACAGCAAGAATAGCACCTTCTATAGCAAAAGGGTCGGTAGCTACAGAAGCCAGAGCCAGATCCACAGCCAGAGCCATATCCACAGCCATAGCCACAGCCAGACCCATATCCACAGCCATACCCACAGCCAGAGCCATATCCACAGCCATATCCACAGCCAGAGCCATATCCACAGCCATACCCACAGCCAGAGCCATATCCACAGCCATATCCACAGCCAGAGCCATATCCACAGCCATATCCACAGCCAGAGCCGTATCCACAGCCATAGCCACAGCCATAGCCACAGCCATAGCCACAGCCAGTGCCATATCCACAGCCATATCCACAGCCAGAGCCATATCCACAACCATAGCCACAGCCAGTGCCGTATCCACAGCCATAGCCACAGCCAGTGCCATATCCACAGCCAGATCTGTAGCCATAACCGTAGCCACAGCCAGAGCCGTATCCACAGACTCCACAGGAGTTTCCGTAGTAGCTGCAACACATGGTGTCAGGCAGTGAGGTTTCAGTTACAGGATAAGAGAAAATTTTTCAAGTATGAATGTAATCTCGTCTTCTAAGCCCTTTATATACTTGCAGGAGCAGATAGGTCATACTCACATGGGCTCTTTTCTCTCATTTTACAACCACATGCCAAAAATGAGCTCACTGTGTGTGTGCTCATTTTGTTAGGAACCTATAGTTTATTTCCTGCTTCCTTGGCCATTTTCATAAGCTTTTAATGAAACAAAGGAACATTTTTCTATGCAATCAAGCTTCTGCCTCTATAATTTTATCTTTCATAAATCCCTTTCATGACTGTGGCATTACACACCACCACCACCACACGCTTGGCCTAGAAGTGTGTGTTTCCTTGTCATTCTTTTCTTTCATAGTCTTTGAACTAAATCTTCTATCAAGTAACACTATTAACGTAAGTGTCAATATCTACCAATAAAAGCTATATAAAATGAATCACAGGTGGATAAGTACCACATGGTTTCTCTAATGTGAGAAACCAAATTATAAACATTTCAAAAAGAAATTAAAGAAGATGGTAGAAAACAGAGAGCTAGAGCCTGTGGAGTTGGGAAATGGATCTGGGGAAGGAGGGAAAATGGGGACAAAATGATGACACGTTATGCATGTGTGTCCATTTCCCAAGATGACTGTAATTATTATCTATTGTAAACATATGCTAATAAAAACAGCACAACATCATAGCAAAATGAGCAGCCCCAGGAATAGCAGCAATAGACAGTGAATCATCTTAGTTTCTCTCTTCCTGATCTCAAATATTCCTTTCCTCATTAAAATTATGCAAAATTATTTTTCCTAGAATGTGGACAAAGAACCAAGAGTTTCCACGTGCTACACGTCTCCCTAACGCTGTCTCCTCTCCTGGAAATAAACCTCTTCTAAATTCATCCTTTTGCAAAACAGCTATGACCTTTTCTTTCCTCAGTGCAAAATTTGGTGTTTAAACCTTGAATCATCCATAGTATAAGGATGTTTATCATTGATGATTTAAGGGACAAAATTTTCCAATTCTCAATAATGCTTTAGTGGGGTTTTTATTTGGTTTTTTGTGTTTTTTGTTGTTGTTTATTTGTTTGTTTTTGGGATGTCTCACACTCCTCTCAGATTTGTTGGGTATATCATTTCTTTTCACTAAAATTTCCTGGGAAAACAGGAAAATTGATTACTGGCCCAATATTTCAATTAAAAAGAACAAAGTTTAGCATCAATTTGCACAGTGTTGATTATGATAAATAATAATGCATGCTGTAGTTCTAAATTACTAAAATAGTACATTTGTCTTCAGCACAAAAAAGTGACATATTTGTGAGCTGATATACTTGTCCATCATTTTGATTCAGTTATTCAACTTTAGTCTTACTTTCCTGCTCCAAAGCAATATCTTAATACAAATATTGGATTTACTTATATTACATTTGATGGAGTCTAACAATTATGAAATTATTAATAGTTGATTGCTTATTAGGATGTTTCATTCTTCCTTATTCTGACTTTATATCACCTTCCTTTGTTTCTATGATAAATGGATTTCTAGTTCACAGTCTCACTTTCACACACAATGCTTTCTTAAATTTGCCTGGGTTTTGTGGTTCATGTACCCTGTACAGTAGATGTGAAGCTGGCAGCAGGTTAACCAGGGATCATTTAATGTACAAACTTGTAGACAAAGAATAATAGCTACTAATATTTATGAAGAAACCCAATAAGATAGTCTAGGGTTGTGGAAAATGCTCAAGGAAGACCTTAGAAGTACTGCATAAACTCTTGTGCTAGAGTTAACATTACCTAATTTGTGCTCTAAAAAGTTGGTATCTATCCTGTTAAGTGCCCTTTTACTAGAAAAAGAAATCACAACACAAGGCATGGTTTGGAGGTGATAAAGATTTTTAATTGTGGTGAACAATTCATGCCTGCATGCATTTTTACACACTCATAAAAACATGTGCATTAAATATATGTAAATCTTTATATCTATTATACATTAATAAAACTATAAACTAGCAAACAAGCAGAACAAGTCTACAGTCATTGGACAGGTATTATCAGTTCTGGACAAACAACTTAGATTTCACTAAATCACACCACATCAAATTTACCAGCATCCCCAAATCTCCTCCAGAGCCTCCACCTGCAAACTCAGAGGAACTAGGCCCTTCTTTAATATCCACTTGCATTCTCTACTGAGGAAGTTTGAGCTATGGGCACCTTTACAGAAAGGTGTGCAAATGAGTTTGAAAGGCAATCATATAATTGGTGAAGTCTTACTTCCCAGCTCCAGAAGCTCCATAGTTGAAATTATAATCTCTGGAAAACAAAGCAACTAATTTTCTAAGATATTTACAATTTATGTAACTGAAAAATGTCCTTAACCTGTGCTGTGGAAAATGTCCTCAAGCTGTATGAACCTAAGTATCTATAATTGCCCAATGGAAGCAAAAATAATTACATGCATTTACATTTTTATCAACAGGCCTGTCTTAGTTACTTTATGATCATTGCTGAGACAAAATACCTGATGCCCAAGTTGGGAAAGGAAAGGTTTATTTCTTACAGTTTTTTTTGGAGGTTTCAGTCCACACTCAGTTGACTCCAAGACAGGCGGGCATGGCTGGGCCTCCATTTATGGCGGCTGCAAAACAGCAAGCTCGAACCAGCAAAGAGAAAGACACACCTTCTTCCTGCCATTACATCACATCCTGGCTCCACCCCTATGTGGGTGGAGCACTGACACCATCAATCCAATGAACCATCACATATGAACAATGCAAACTCATGAGGCCTGGGGGACACAAACATAAACCATAACATTCCACCCCTGGCTCCCAGGACTCATGTACATCCTTTATACAAAAGACATTTAGTCCACCTCCAAGAGTTGCCAAAGTCCTAACAGCTTCAACATTGCTGAAAAGTCCAAGTCCCAAGTCTCCTCCAAGATCTATGGCAAACTCTTAACTGTAAGCCCCTGTACAAAAGAAACAAGGTTAAACATTTCTGAAATGCAAAGGCACAAGATACACATTACCATTCCAAAAGTTACAAACAGGAGAATAGAAAGCATTTAAAACAAAGCAATTCCAACATCCAACAGGGCAAACATTAAGTCCTAGAGTTCTACACTCAGCATCTGAAGCAATCTGGTTGCAAGTTCCAAAAACCTTGGCTATAACAAGGCCCAAGGAATTTATAGAGAAAATATAAAGAGCAAAGTTATTTGTGTATAAAGGAGACAAAATAGTATTTATTCTTTCCATATTCATTCATTCAAATATAAGCAACTTAACACATAACTTTTCTAGTTTCAATATATGTACTTCTAATGACTTACTAAATTTTAGAATTTGTACAATACACAAATATACATATGTATTATAGATTCTTATACATTTTATATGAGATGAATATACACATATATCTTACCTAATATATTTTAAATTTATCTAATTCTCTCAAAAATGAATTACAAAGTAATGACTTCATTTCACTTTCTAAATGTTTTTATGATAAACTTTTTACAATGAGTACACAATCAATACGTCATAAGGCTTGGCTTTATCGTCTATTTTGAAGTTCAGTGGACAGGATTACCCATTGAAATTTTACCAATTCATATTTTGGGAACATATTTGCACGTGGGTAAAATAAGTATCTGCTTTTCCAGACAGTTATTGGATTTCTATATAAAAGTAAATTTAGTCTCCTTTTGTGTGACTTTATTGTGCTGTATAGTGTAAGAGAATACTCTCATAGTTCTGTGAAAATTACGCTCATTACAATTTTTACTTTTTATTTTTAATTGTATATTTTAACTGATGTATAAAATGGTGCATGTTCACAGTGTTTTGATATATTTATGTATTATAAATGCCAAGATGGAAGTCTTTACCATTTACTTACCATTTTTGTAGTGAGCACACCTAACATTTACTCTCCTAGTAAATTCTAAGCATAAGACACAGTATTTTTTAACCATAGTCACTATGAAATACATAGATATTCTTGAATACATACGCAGAGCTGAGGTTTTGTAACCTTTGCCCAATAACTGCTTTCTCACACCAACTCATAACAGCACAATCGACTCCATTTCTATCTGACCACTTTAGACTCCTTATTGATAAAGGAAATTCTTGAGATATTTGTCTTTCTGCACTTGGATGGCTTTTTGGTTTTGGAGTTTTGATTTTGTTTTGCTTTATTTGCTTTTTTCCTGGCATAATGTCTCTCAAGTTTATCCATATTGTCCAATTAACAGGACTTCCTTCTTTTAAGACTTAACAGCACTGAAGTGGGTTTATATTACACATTTCTTACCCAATCTTCCACTGATGAACATAAACTTTTATTCTACTTCTTGGCTATTGTGAATAGTGATGCAATAAATAGGATAAAGCAGATAAAAATCTTCAATATACTGATTGTATGCTATATTCTTATATAACTAGAAGTAGGACTACTGTTTCATACACTTTTATTTTTAATCTGTGTAAAACATTCACACTATTTTCAATTATGGTTGTACTAATTTATATTCTCATCCACTACGGCGAGAAGTTACCTCTTCAAATTATCTGAGAAAACATTTACGATACATTTTTTCTTTTTTGTAATTAAGAATTGCTTTGTTTTCTTAATAGTTGTTTGAATTCCACATGCATTCTAGAAATTAATCTGAACTCACATGTATGGTTTGCAATAAGCTTCACATTCTTCAGATTTTCCTTTCATTCAGTGAATTATCTCCTTTGCTCTGCAGAAACATTTTTGCTCAGTGTAATACCACTTGTTTTGCTTCTGTTTCATGTGCTTCTGGAGAAGGTAACCTAAAAATCATTGCTCAAATAAATATCAAGAACTTTCCCACTAGCTTTTCAGCCAGCCACTTTGCAATTGTAGAATTTGCATTGTGATTAAAGCATTTGAATTTATTTTTGCATATGGCATGAGAATGAGAGGATAGATTTTCTACATGTGACTATTCAATTCTCCAAGTTCCATTCATTGAAGAGACTGTCTTTTCTCATCCCTGTTTCTCACATCTTTGTCAAAAATCAATTAGCTTTAGATGTCAAGCTTTGTTTCTGTTCCTTTTCTTTTCTTCCACTGGTCATTTTATGCCCACATAATTCTGTTTTTATTACTATTTCCTTGTAGTAGATTTTTGAAACAAGTAGTATGCTGCTTCTGGTGTTGCTCTTTTTACTGAGTATTTCTTTGACTATTTCTGGTTCCCTGAATTTTCATATGAATCTTAGTTTTGTTTTCTCAATTCTTGTGATTAATGACATTAATATGACCGAGCACATTGGTTCTTTGGACAATTCAACAACATGCTGTCTCTCTGTCTATGAAAACACCATATTTTTACTTATTTGTGTCTTTCTGAATTATTTTCACCAATACTTTAGAGCTTTTGGTATACAGATCTTTCACATCCTTTATTAAGATTTTCCA